AGCAGTGCCCTGCAGCATTGGCCTGGCTCAGGCAGGAGCGCAGATCCAGGAAAGTACGGGTCAGCGCCAGTATGCTGGGTGTTGGCCGGGCTCCTGAGGACGCCTATCATGGACCTGGCTGGCCCCAGGCACCAGGAACACCGGGTTAGTGAGACAGCAGCAAGCACAGCTCATGGGGGCCTGCAGGGAGCCCGCCCCGAGGAAGGCCTCTTGCAGACAGCAGGGGCTGAACCTAGAAGAGTGCGGAAGCGCGTTCCAAGGCAAAGCTGCGCCTACGGAGAGGTCAGGGCAGCATGCGGGCTCCTGGGAAGCTGCAACTGATTTCCAGGCAACATGAGAACAGGGTCAAGACTGGAAAGCAGGGTATCTCCAGGTGACACAGACTGTGTTTCATTCTGGAGTTTTCGAAATGGCAGTTTTTAGACTCAAAAGTCCAGCTCAGTCAACCTTCTCCATTAACGCCCGTGCTGCCCTTTGTTCCATGTTATCCAACTACGTGAAGACCCTGGGGGGACACCAGACATCCCCACACACCTACTGAGGTGCCAGCAGCACGGCACTCGATGGACAGCACCACTGACAGCATCACCATGGCCCACCGCGGGAGCTGGCCAGTCCCTCCACTCTGCGTCCCGTACCCTCATTACATGTGAGAGCAGCAGCTCCTCACCCGGCTGCAGGGGAAGGCTCCTTGAAGCCAAGTGCTTGGCCCAAAGCAAGCACCTGTGTTTGCTGTCACTACTCAACAAGTGCTCCCGAGGCAACTTCTTCTGGTCTGAAAGCAAGCCTGAATCACTCTGCAGGCATGCAAGGCTGCACACACGAAACCAGAAAACACCGCTCAAACCAAAGGAAGGCGGAGTGACCAACACGTGCACGGATCAGGAGACACAATGCTGTGTCAGGTCTCAGTATGTTCAAAGCTGACCTGCAGTCTCTATGTTATCAAGTCAAACCCGGTGTGCTTGTAGATCCTGACCAGCTGATTCTAGAACTTTACATGAAATGCAGGTCTAGAGTAACTGTAACAATTTTAAGGGGAAAAAAAAAGGGCTGACTGCCTGATTTCAAGACTCCATATCCTGCCTGTGTGGTCTCAAGAGAAACTAAAGGTCATCCCCACACAGACTCGCACCGAACTGTCCATGAGGCTGTATCTGTAACAGCCCCAAACTGGAAACCACCAAACATCCACCAACAGGGGAAGGACTAGCTGTGGTGGTGAAAGGGCACAAGCCACAGGGACGGGTCTCAGGGACCACACTGTGCTGAGGGAGCCAGGCTAGGAAGTGCCCACTGCATGACTCCATTTATATAACATTCTAGAAAACACAACCTCCTCTCTAAAACCTCACCTCAGAATGCTGACACCTGCTGCCTGGGAGGAGCTGAGGAGAGGGCACGACGTAGTGATGCTCACACACGAGTGCCGCAGACTTGCACAGCAGTGAACGATGAGGCACGCGCTTGCCCAGCCCAAACTCAACCTGACAACTGGAGTGTTTTACTGCATGTAAATTGTGCTTCCATATAAACAAAATAAAGCCCTAAGGCAGTGCTGTCCTGTAAACTCAGAAGCATACTTTTTGCTTTCCATACTCATGAAGGAACACAGACAAGAATTACCACTGACCTTGGTCACTGAGAATCTGTGTGACAGTGGGGGAATTTTGTAAACTGAGCATGAAGAAAACACTGGTGATGATTCTTTTCTACCTGTGTCTCCAACTATAGAATGACAGGCAGAGGCCTCCCTGGTGATGCAGGGGTAAGTCTCAGCACTATCAAGCTATTGGGAGCCACTGCGGCCCAAGTTTCATCCTGGCAGGGAGCTACCCACATGTCACAGCAGACCCCTCCTGTCTCCCCGCTGCTCCCCTCAGCAGTGGATTTCAGTGGATCTGCCTATTCTGCTCCCCACTGTCTCTGGGGAATCCTCTCATCCCCGCCCATACCTTGGCCTACATCCCAGATCTTGTGTGCATAATCAAGCAAAATGAATCTTTAAACAAACAACGAAAGGCAATCTTGAAAGAGATTACCAATCTCCAATTCTGAATTGAAACACTTTTTCTAGCTAAAAATCAGTAAGCAACAGTTAGGAAAGCTGTTGGCAACCTGCGTCCTGCCTCGAGCTGCCTCACCTACAGGGCCGAGAAAGCCAGCGCACTATAGGAGGAGGGAAGGGCACTTGTGCCACCCAGATATCACAGGTAGTTCCAGGGATGCCAAGCCACTCCTGCATAAAAGAGCCCTACAAAGCTCAAGGAGAGCGGGTGTTCTGCAAGGCTGGCAGCCAGCCAGTCACAGAGGCGCCTCCCTCTGGGGAAGCCCTCACAGGGGAGTCGAGCTCTGACCAATTCTCCCGAGTAAAGAGGTTTTTCTCCTACATCTCAAAAAATATTTTACTAATTTAGAAGTTTAAGCAATTACTTACAAGGTCTATCTCCACATTGGCCCTCATAGCTTAAAGTTAAAAAACAAACTAACAGTGAGTGAGGACACAAAGCAAGAAAAAGGCAGGTCAGTCACTCTGCAGGTCAAACCACCACGGCAATCTGTGGCAGTTAGTTCTCAGACTTGGTGCCCCTCAGTGGCCAACTAACGCTGTTGTGAAAGTTATTTCAGAAAATTGCTCACTACCCAAGAAGATAGTAAAGGCCTCACTTAGGTTAACCAAAGAACACCCAGTGCTCCCCACTAAAGTGCACCCACCTGCAGGCCTGCTTCTGCTCTCTCCTCTCCTCCCACCTGACAAGATTCTTCCCATCTTTCCCCACCTATCCTAATTGCTCACACTCCTGAGCCCCTCAAGCCAAAAGCAGCCAGTCCCCCCAAAGCCCAAGCTCTTTCCCGGAGTCTAGTAACAGGGTGGTGTCCAGGAAAAGGGGAGTGCCAGGTTCCCTGTTCCACCCAAAGGAGGATGGAGCTGAGCAGGGAGGAGAAGCTGGAGAGAAGCCTGGGGAAGGAAAGAAGGAAGCAGGAGAGCAGGAGGAGCCTGGAGGAGGCACAAGGAGCAGAGACACATGAAGAAGATGCACTGGCGTCTTGGACCTGGACTGGTTGGAACACACATGGGTGAGAGACCCGCAGGGAGGTGACACGGCAGCTTTTAAAGCCCCTGTTTCTCAGTCTTGTATCCCTCACAGCACTCTGCGCCTAGAGCCAAACTGAGGGTGCTGCCTCTAAAGGTGAGGGAAAAAAAAAAAAAAGAAAGGCAAAGGGAAAGGGAAACAGCATTTTCTCTTCAGTGACATAAATGATAACAAATACCAAAAACAGAGACCTGCTCTAAAACTACTTAGCAGTGGGCCTCCCCAGTGGCGCAGCGGTTGAGCGCTGGGTTGCGAAGCTGCCCGCAGCCTCTGCAGCGCCAGTTCGATTCCGGCTGCTCCCCGGCCACCGGAGGAGGGTCCCTCATGGCGCGCAGACCTCTCCTGCCGCCCGCTGCTCCCCTCAGCAGTGTACTTCGGTCCTTCTGCCTGCTCTGCTCCCTGCTCTGGCTCTGGTGAATTCTCTCACCCTCCTGTGCTTCTGACTGTACCCAGTGCTTGTATAAATAAATAAATAAATCTTTAAAAAAAAAAAAAAAAAAAAAAACTACTTAGCAGTACTCACACAGAAGCAGCAACGCAGTGTCAATGGTGTAAATACAAAGGGACAAACAGAGCTGAGACACACCGCAGACCAGAGGTGGCACTAAGGCTCTAAGCAATGGTAGGAAACCAGGTCCAGATTTAAGAAGGGTCTGGTGATGGCAAAGATTTCAAGTGTGGTAGAATTTACCCTTTACCTATAATGTCTTACACACTGAAACTAATACTCCACCTACATAACCACCTTACCTACAAATGGGGAGTAGCAAATCTCCCCAGTACTCAGCATAGTCCCTGCAACAATGGCCTGGTGGCCTTTTAATTTTTTTTGTTGGGGGAAGGGGGGAGCACTTGCCGGTGCAGCCTGGTCATCTTATCCTTAAAATTGTTCATCTCATCTTCTTTTGTTTGCCAGAATTGTCACACCATGTGCATAAACCGTGTGTCACTCCCATGCCCCCAAACTCTGCTTACCTAAATCTACTTTTCCTTCTATTTCTTCTCAAGACCTGCTTCCTGGGCTGAGCTCTGTCACACATGATGGTCGCTTTCTCCAAATGTCAATACTGCTCATCCCACACCTCTTTTTAAAAATTATGATAAGGTAATTGTTACCTTTTTACATAACGTGATATTAAACAGAACTGGTCTCAAATCCCCGATGTGCTGTTGGTTGCAACGGAAACTCAGCAGGTTACTAAATCCTTGAACCTCAGTTTCCCGATCATTACAGTTGGATTCAGCTGGGTGATGTCCAGCAAGGCCTGATACACAAGCGCACCCTGCTTAGGTGCACTACATACAGACTGATGCTTCTCGAGTGGACGTGCAAGCTGTATTTAGAACTTAAGACGAGCAACGCAACAAAGTCGGTACTAAAAACTGGATCCTTTCGATGATGGAACAGAGGAGGCTCACAACTTTGAAGTTGTGACAATTCACACAAGACACCTCAGTAAAATCCCCAAGTCTCCAATTGAAAACTCAGGGGAAACGACAAGATGGCGGGCTGGGGTCCGCACACTGACGGCTCCCCTCGGTGCACGCCTGACGCTGAAAGGTCAGGCTCCGCAGGATTTACTACAGAAATCCACAGTACACAGATGAACACCTTTCTCCACCGTATCGTGTCTCGGAGCAAGCAAACCACTTCTGCAAATTCCAGCCTCCGAAGAGAAAGTCCAAGAGAGACGGGACCGAGTCAGCGCTCTGCTGTCAGACGCCCGCCCCGCCCTGGACGCGGACGCGGCTGCCCTGCGGCGGGGACTGGCGAGGGCCACCCGCCCCCGCCCAGGCGCCCCCAGACACGCGCGCCCCGCAAGTCGCACCCCCGGCCCCGGGGCCCCATACGCCAGCCCCGCCGGTCCCGACTCCGACGGCTCCGGCGCCGGACCCCGCGCTCACCCGGGCGGTGACCTTATACACCGTGTAGCCCCTGCGGTGTCGTCGGGGTTCGGTGACGGTGTAGAAACGGGCCAGGTCGGCGCCCCGCTCCCGGGGCGAGGTCATGCTCCCGCCGCCGCCGCAGCCGCCGCCGGCCAGGTACCATCGGGGATCTAGCGCGCCGCGGCCGGCCCCGCTCCCCACCCGCGGCGCTGCGGCGAGGGGGCGGAGCTAGGCGGTGCCTCCGCCTCCGGCTCCGCTTCCGGGTGAGCGGGCGCTTCCGGCCAGCGGCTGCTCTAATTCCGGGTCACGCCGCGCCGCTTCCGGGAGCGTCGCCTTAAATTCGGACCCGCGCTCGCACGTATGGCGGCAGGCGCCTCGGTTGCTCCTCGAGCTGGAGCTCTTCATTACGAGAACAGCCGAGACTTACTTAGATTCCAGTGGACTTTCAGGGAACTCTGAGTAGCCAAAACGGTCTTGACAAAGTCCTTCCTAACTTCCAAACTTACTACAAAGTTGCAGTAATCGGCTCACTATCGCTCGCCTCCTGGCTACACAGCTCCTGGCTTGCAGCCAGCTCTCAGAGCTCCATTTTGGGATTCCTGATCAGCGGATCGGGATGCAGTATTTTCAGACTTCCTTCAAATTCAATGTTTGGATTGCAAGGACATTGGGCAACACAGTAACAAATAAGAAAGAGAGAGAGTTATTTTGTTGGGCTTGATAAAGAAAGCAGGTGATACGCGCCTGAGAGTCATGTGCTGGATCAGGATCCCTTACGACCACGTCACAGAGCGGCAGAAAGACATAGTTACGATGGGGAAATGGACAGTTGGTGAACTGGGTGGAACTGGCCTTGAAGAGAAATAGAAGCGATGACACAAATGCTAAAAAAAAAAAAAAAAAAAAAGTTGCAGTAATCGAGGCTGTGTGGTAGTGGAGGAGGGCAAACACGTAGACAAAGGACATAGCGTTGGGTTCAGAAATATATCCACCCATTTAGAGTCCATGATTTTTCAGCAAGGATCACAAGCTCATTCAGTGACTGGGGTCCGGGGCTGGGAGATAATCTTTCCACCAAGTGCTGCTAGAATAACTGAATTTCCACATGCAAATGAATTTGGACTCCCACCTAACAGCATATAGTAAAATTAGCTGAGGATGGATTTAAGACTTGGGCACTAGAAGTATAAGACTCTTAGAAGGAAATTAATGTTTATCTTCATGATATTGGATTGTGAAATGGTTTCTTAGCTATGAAACCAAAGGCACAAGCAACCAAACTTTTTAAAAAAGGATATTGGGCCTCCTTGGTGGCGCAGTGGTTGAGGGCTGGGCTGCGACACTGCCTGCAGCCTCTGCAGCGCGGTTCAATCCCCAGCCCAGGGGGATGGTTCCACATGGCGCGCAGACGTCTCCTACCATGCCCCGCTGCTCCCCTCAGCAGTGCACTTCATCAGTCTGCCTGTTCTGCTTTCTGCTCTGGCTCTGGTGAATTCGCTCACCCTCCCATGCGTCTGACAGTACCCAGTGCTTGTATAAATGAATAAATAGATCTTTTTTTAAAAAATGGATATCATCAAAATGTAAAACTTTTGCATATCAAAAGAGATAGGTAAAAGAATCCACAGAATGCAAAAATATATATATGCAAATCATGGCTCTGGGAAGGATTTCATGTCTAGAATATATAAAGAACTCTTAAAACTCAATAAAGGACAAATAACCCAACATAGAAATAGCAAAGGATCTGCATGCACCTTTCACCAAGGAGATACACAGATAACCAACCAGACAGCACATGAAAAAAATGCCTCGTTAGTCAACAGGTAAATGCAAATCAAAGCCATAGGAGATGCTTAAAGTGGTAATTAAGGTAAAATGAGGTCACATGGGTGGACACTAATCAAGTATGACTGGTTGTCTTATAAAATGACAGCAGAGACAAAGAGAAAAGACAATGTGAAGACTCTCAGTGACTGCCATCTACAAGGCAAGGAGAGCTGTCCTCAGAAGAAACCACGCCACCAATACTCATCTTGGTCTTCTTGCCTCCAGAAGTGTGAGAAAATATATCTCTGTGCAAATCTGTGGTACTGGGTTATGGCATCCCTAGCAAGCAAGCAAGCAAGCACAGATTACTCTTTTTAAAAAATAGAAACAAGAAGTGTCAAGGACATGGAAAAATGGGCCCCTCATAAATTGGTGAAAATTTTCAATGAATCATTTTCTGTAGAAAACAGTAGAAATTGCTCAAAAATGTAAACAGAGCTAGCAGATGACCCAGCCATTCCACTCCTAAGTATATACTCAGAACAAACAATTTCCTGAAAGTTCATGGTAATGTTATGCATGGTAGATAATAAGAGGAAAACACCCAAATACCCGTGAGCTGATGAAAGATAAACAAATGTGGGATATATACACACAATGGAATATTATTGAGGTATTTGCTATTTGTATGAACTCCAAGACTCTGAAGCCTTTTTCCTACCAAGCCAGTTCAATGTTAGATTTATTTTGTTTTGTTTTAAGATTTATTTTTATTTATGTGTAGGCCAGAGATGTGGGGGGTAAGACAATTCACCAGAGACAGAATGGGGCAAAGAACAGGCAGATCTACTGAAATACACTGATGAGGGGAGCAGCGGAGAGACAGGAGAGGTCTGCTGCACCATGTGGGTCAGCTCCCTGGCAGGGATGAAACTCATGTCGCAGAGGCTGGTGATAGTTTGATAACACTGAAACTTTAATCCCTTTGTCACCAGGGAGTCCCTCAATGCTGTATTTGTTTTGTCTTCTTTGCCAATTAGTCATCAACTTGTAACTACTTATCTGCAATTCTAACCACAATGAAATAACACTATACCTATAATTAAGCTAATAAAGTATCACTCAAAAGAATAAGGTTTTGATAAACTTTTGGCTTCTTTGTGGTAGACTTGTTATGTATTAAATATAATATAATAGCTTTAAGATTCCCTTTAAGAATAATTTTTTTACCTCTATCATCTTAGACTTCCCAGGCTTAGATAAGTATGAACTACAGATTCACTGCAGAGAATAAAGTGATATACACCCTACATCTTGATGTTTGCCTTCATGAAGGACATATTTCTAACAGCTTAATGTCCAGTTTTGGTATGAACGGATCAAAATATTTGCTACAGGCACCATCACGTAGCACTTATTTTATTCATTGGAGAAAGCATAATTCCTCTCCTTGAATGGCTATCAACCACAGGGAGCATTTTTACTTGCTGACATGTAGTTTTCTCATGCCCTCTGAAATGCCATTGCTCAGTGCCTTCATTCTCTGTGTGTCCAAGGAACACCTGCTAAGGTCTGCTCTTGCTCTTTAATATTTTTCCAGAAAGAGGGAGCCCTGAAACAGACAGAACCAGGCAGCAAGATCATTTGTCAGAAGCAAGTTCAATTCTGTAACATACATAAGTGTCTGTAGGCACTCAAATCTGCAAAGGCCCCATTTAGGACTGAAAGATGGAAACTAAGGAAGAGTTTGGGGCTGGATTGAAGAGCTAACCTGAATTTTTCATCCTGTCTGTCAAATTCCTACCATCACACCTCTGTTTTAAATGCCCAGACATCAAGAGATCTAAATTTAATTAGCCCATACAGATTAGGAAAGAAATGACAAATTCTAGCAAGGCTGATTATGGTGATGTTTTCATCAAAAACCACTCCAGAACATATAATCTTGGAGGATTCCAACAGCTTTCAGAACAGTTTCTGCCCTGCTCTAAATAAAATCTTTACTTTGCCACTGCTCTAGCAACCCCAGATGGAATATCAGGATCCTGAAAATGGTAAATTGGTTGCAAAGGAAAGGTTCCACCACCATGCACCAGGATACAGGGTTCTTCCAAGAAAAGAACTATGTCACCATGACAACCTGGGATATTTTTATTCAGAGATGTTATACAGAAACAATTTCACTGAATGTAGAGATTGAGAGTGAAGTATAAGAACATACGTGGGCATTGAGAGACACTCTAAATTTGGAATTTTTACTTTTCCTTGCAATCTATGTGTTGCCAAATCCTGTTTTTAAGAACAAAAGGCCAAAATAACATTTATGTATAAATAAGGGATATAAAAATTAAGTACATGTGTTGGGAGAGACCGTGCGCAGTGAGCAGAAGGACCTTGACCTGAGTCTCTAAGGCATGTGAAAACACATGTGTCTTTGAGGAAAACCTCTGAGTGACCGGACCTGGTGTTGAGTGCCCGGAAAGTGACGTGTGTAGAGTCATGACTCAGTATCTCCACAGCAAAAAACTAATTAGGAACAAAACCCCTCTGCCCTAGCTAGCGGATGATTATATTATGTGCTCTAACTAATGAGCAATCAGATTATGTGTAGGAGCTGACCACCTAGCACCCAGAAGTCGGGAGTAGGCAGATATCACTAGCAAAGTAAAATAGTTAATCATGTAAGTTGTCATTGTATGGTACACTTTGATGTTATGCCTAATGCACTCTGAGAAAGTATATAATGAGCACTAAGAAAATAAAGATTCACTGCATGCTGGACGTGACAGTCCCCCGTTTCTGATTTCCCTCACCATCGTGTCCCAGGTCCAGGACTCACTGGAAGTCCACATACATGTATTATGTGGTTATGTAACTTCGTTAATTGGGGCGTTTTCATTAACAAAGGGGAATAGGCTGTGATACATTAGCACAAACATCATCAGCTGAAAAAAAGTAATAGTATTAGAATGAATATTTCTCTTGTATTTTGAATCAATACTATATCGATACTATATTCTTTTCACTTGATAACATTTATATCTTGTTTCTCATTTCCTCTGTGCTGTTTCTCAAAGAGTTATACAAACTCCTGATATATTACCTACTCAGACTATGCTAGTTCATGTAGCCAAGTTTATGTTCAGATTTGCTTTTTATATGAAATTGAAGCCCATTTTTTCCTTTCTATATCTTGTAGCAGGTACTTCACAGCTACAAATTTGTTAAATTAAATATTTCATAAGAATTTCCCAATTTAGGGCCTCCCTGGTGGTGCAAGGGGCTAAGTCTCAGCACTATGAAGCTATCCACAGCCACTGCAGCACAAGGTCAATCCCCGGCCATGGAGCTGACCCACATGCAGCACAAGTTCAGCTCCCGGCCATGGAG